GGAAATTCTTGTTCGTTTGAAGGGGTATCGGTTCCCCTTGAATGGGTACCGATTCCCCTTGCCCAGAAATCATATTTTGAGCTCGAAAATCCTTCATTTTCAGCTCAACACATCATACTTCATTCCCTTTAATATTCCTAACTTTCATACACATACTTAAACTCATTTCTACTCCATAATCACTTCTTTAAACTCAAAATTCTATCTTCCATATAAGATTCAAAAATCATACCAAATTTTCAATATGTTCTAAATCCAATTATATCACTCCAAATCTCTTAATTTAACTATTGACAAGTCAAATTCATCCATAAAACTTCAACAACCATACCATATCAAAATTTCATCTTAAAACTCATATTGCAAATTTCTTCATAATTCATTTATCTTATTGTTTAAATCCCATATAAACTTTCCTTAAGCTTATTTAATACCCAAAGAATCAAAACTAAGCTTAAAACTTAAGAATTAACCAACTGAAATTAAACTTACCTTTTGTAGCTAGCCCCACGTGAAGAAGAGAAAGCAAGAAGAAGAAAGCTTCCAGATAGCTCTCTTCCCACGTTTTTCACTCTTATAAAAGGGGGAAGAATATCTTTTAAAGGAAAAGACCATACTACCCTTAATTTCCTTTAATAATTACCAAATAACCTTCAATATATATTCAAATAATCATTGAATTCTTTCATTCTTATACTTTAGTCACCAAATTCTGAAACTCTACAATTTGGTCACTAACCCGGTATTGCGGATGTTACAACAACTTACTTGGATTTCAACTTCATGACGAAGGATATCCAATTCCAAGCTCAACTTCACGACGGAGGGGCCACCCGCGGTTTCAACTTCACGACGAAGGGAATCGTGCACACAAGCAGCATTCATCTATAGATTGGATTTCAACTTCACAACGAAGGATATCCAACTCAAAGAAGAAGTATCTGTCAATAAACTTTCCAGTTTCAAAGTCAATTTCAACTTCACAGCGAAGGATACTGGCCTCGAAACATCACAACTTACATTGGATTTCAACTTCACGACGAATGATATCCAACTCCAAGGTTCAACTTCACGACGAAGTGACCATATATGATTTCAACTTCACGACGAAGGGAATCATGCTCACCAGCAACATTCACCTTTAGATTGGATTTCAACTTCACGACGAAGGATATCGTGTTCATTTGCAGCATAGCTCAAGTCGAGAAAGGTTATCTGCTAACAAAGACCTTCGAGTTCGACTACGCTCAGCTCCAAGGCACATCATTTACAGCATAACTCAAGGCTAGAAGGGTTATCTGTCAACAAAGACCTTCGAGTTCGATTCTATTCAGCTCGAGGGCGTATCAATCGCGTTGCATTAGCAAGGAACTACTTTTCGGTCAAATTTTTACACCTAGGTCTTTAAATCGAGAAGAAGACCAAGGTCGACCAAGATTGGCAACAAAGAGTCACTTTTCGATTAACCCACGATTTCAACTTCAAGAAGAAGGATATCGTGCCCAATGGATCGACTTAGTGTCACAACAAACACTATTAAGTCTCAAATCAAAGAGAACCGGACAAAAACTGGTTGTCTTTTTCATCTTTGCCCTATTCTTGTTAACAAAAAAATGTGCAAAGAGGGGCAGCTGTAGACACCCGTTTTTGTTCGAGTCTACAAAAACATTTTATTATATTATATTATTATTATTATTATTTATTATTTTTGCAGGCCCCACACTCAACAACCTTGATTTAGTGAGATTCATAAAATAAATCAACGTATTTAAGTCTTATTGAAACACTAAAACCAACGTATTTAAGTCCTATTAAAACACTAAAATCAAAGCATTTGAGTCCAAGTAGGACTCTAAATCTGAGCTAAAAATAGGTTTCTTTAGACTATAAATAGACTCAAGCATCAAGAGGAAATGACAGAGAAAAAAACGTGAGACCATATTCCAGAGTCTGAAACACAAAGCACCCAGTGTGCTGCTGCTTCACACGATCCCAAGATATTTAAATCCAAGTCTGGGGTTACACCAGTGATGCAAAAGCAAGCAAGAAGAAGCGCTAAGGATTTGTAGCTGAGCTGAATACACGGACTTTAATTTCCATTTGCAATTCGAAAGGTTTTTTTTTAATTGCTTTTGTTGTTTTGGAGCGTGTTTGTTTTCATAATTTTACAATTGTTATTTTTTCTGCTTTATAAAATACCAACGCTGACTGTTTTAAAATTGACGAGTTCTATATTTGTTGTGTTTATTTCACATGTTGGCGTTTCTCATGTTCATTTATCATAATAAATATGAATTAAGAAATGATAATACATTATTTTTATTATTATTTATTTATTATTTATTATTCATTTTTTCCTTTTTGTTTAGCATTCAATATTTTATTTTGTCATCTACCATTTTGTTTATTTTTTCTTCGGTAGTAATTTCAACCGAAGGTAAATAATTTGAATTGGGTTTTTAAATTTTAATTTTCGCAATTAAAGACAACCGAAAAATTAATTGGTACCGAAAGGGCGGTTCAAGGGTGCTAATCCTTCCTTGACCGTAACCGACTCCCGAACCCGACATGTTTCTGGTACAACGCAGATCAGGTAAGATGGTGTCCGACCCACCTAAATTTGTTTTAAAGTGGTCGGTGGCGACTCTAACCCAATCAATTCAAGTCGAAGCCTAATTCTGGGCCCAACCGAAAGACGGTCGCGACACATATAATATAATTTTAATGATATTATATTTTTAATATTATATTAATATATAATAAGATATATTATAATAATATATGATATTATATTTTTATGGGTAAACTACACTGATGGTCACTAATGTTTGAAGTAGTTTTTGTTTTCCCAATTGATGTTTCAAAAGTTACAAATCGATCACTAAAGTTATCGATTGGTTACAGATTGATTACTCAACGTTAACAGACGTTAACATGCCTGACGAAAAACAGAGTTAGCTCATTAAATGCTTACATGGATGGGTTTGACCGGGTTAACCGGACATTGGAGACCCACATCTTCTCTAAATAAAAACCCAGTCCCTAAACTTAAATTAGGGTTTTTTTTCATTCAACTCCAGTTTTTTTTTTCCAGTGTCTTACACACTTTAGATGCACTTGGTAATGCTGGTCTGTGGTAGTTACTTGGCTCCTGAATACCTCATGCATGGCAAAATGAGTGATAAAATTGATGTCTACGCATTTGGTATCGTCCTCCTATAGCTCCTCTCTGTTAAAATTGATGTCTACGCAATTTTTCTCAGTTGCTAGATCCAGAGCTCGGTAGTAGCTACGAATGTTATCAGATAGAAAGAGTGATTTTAGCGCTACCCTGTGCATTAGACATGCACTATTTGTGTCTTAGGGTCAATCATCTGCACCATTTGTGTATTCTTTCCCATGATTCCCAATTTTATGCATGGGCTAGTTTTCAGGGTAATATAGTGAAGAACAAATGTATACTCAAAACATACACGTTATTGTAAATAAGTCATTCCTTCAAGATGGCAATGTTTGTTGTCAACCTTCACTTATTCTTTTGACATACACAACATAACAATCAAATTGATTCAACTCTACCGCATATGTGGTTTCAATTCTTTCCATTGTTCCCACCAACGACTAAAGCTTGAATTCTTTAACATCACATCTTTAGACACCTTTTTATTCTGGATTAACTTCATTGCGTATTTCTTGAACTTATCGATCTTGTGCCATAACAGGTTTATCTTCGTTCCATCACCCTCACTTCTTACATTTTCCAGCCACTCCCAGGTTTCTTCTACCTTTGCCCAAAATAATAAATCTTGTGTCACACTAGCAAACTTACTCCTCTTGCTTTCTTCAATTTGAAGGCTCCTAAGTCCTAACCCTCCACCATTTGTCAAATATTTCATGCCTCCATTGCCTTCCGTTTTCAATGCTCGCGTTCGTGGTGCATCACGGTCCGGTAATAGTCTGCGATGTCGAGTGGTTGGACGAGAAGCATATAGAATCGAGAAGAGTTTATCCATTTCCCTTTCCTGTCGAAATCATGAGGAAGCTTGTTGTTTTCCAACAGGGAGATTACAGTACTGTACCAGAACGAAGCAAGCTTATGGCGGTTCATGTTGACTCTGGCTTCTCTTCTTGAGCCTGCCTTCAGCTTGAAGGAATCGTAGTAACCCATTTGATCATCGACCTCGTTACAACTCTGCTCTGAAAAAAAACCTTATTTAAAAGAGAAGACGTGGGTCTCCAACGTGATGGTCAACTCGGTCAAACCCATCCATGTATGCATTTAATGAGTCAACTATATTTTCCGTTACGCCTATTAACTTAACGTCTGTTAACATTAAGTGACCAATTTATAACCAATCGATAACGTTAGTGATCAATTTATAATCAATCGATAACGTTAGTGATCAATTTATAACTTTTGAAATATCAGTGGGAAAACAAAAACTACCTCAAACATTCATATGTGTAGTTTACCCTATTTTTAATTTAGTAATATATAATAAATTATTAATATTTATCAATTATGTTATAAATATGATATTATTAAATTATTAACAATGAGTAATATTAATTTATATTTTTAATATCAATATAACAATTTATTATTATGTTAATAAAATACTAATAATTAAAATTAAGGGTGTTCAAATGGTTAATTCAACCACCTAGTGAATTGAATTACCATTAATCGAAAAAAACCGAACTTTTTTAATCGTTAATTGAATCCAGACCCGTTTATGAGATTTTGGGGCCTTAGGCGAACTGATAAATTAGGTCCTAATCAGAGGCTTAAATAACAATTTGTATTTGTGTCTTTGATTGTGGTGTTTATCGTTATTGTGAACGTAACATATGATATTGTGGTCAATGCACTTATCGTGGTTGTAGATTTTTAATAACATATACTATTGTAGACGTAACGATTGTTGATATCACAATTTTGGACGATGTCATTACCACTATATAACAGTCATTGTTGTGGTTACATATTATTATTTAAGTAACTGTTCATAATAATAAGTGTTGAAAAAAATAATTTGTAAGGGTAGCTTCATAATAATAAGTATTGAAAAAAATGAGTCTTAATTATAAATATTTTTTTTAAAAAAAGTAAATTTTTAGAGTATGCTCATAATAACAAATATTAAAAAAAAAAATAAGAGTGCTTATAATAACAAATATTAAAAAATTGAACCTCCAATAAAAAAGTATTTAAAAAATAAATTCATAAAAACAAATAAATATTAGAAAATTTTAAATTTTAAAATTGTGTTCCTAATAACAAATATTTAAAAAATTAGATATTTGATAATAAGTATTGAAAAAAATTGGGTTTTTAGTAACAAATGTCAGAAAAATATTGGTAAAAAATAGACACTTATACAAATATTAGAAAAAAAATAAATTATAAAATTAGGAACCTAATAATAAATATTAAAAAATTAAGCCCATAATAATAAATAGTAGAGAAAAATTGAAACCATAGTAACAAATATTTGTAATAATTGAGCTCTATAATACATAAAAAAAATTTGGGCCATGGGCAGGTGCATCTGCTTCTCAGGCCCAGATACGACACTGATTGAATCATTTTTTTTGAAAATATTAACCGAACCGAACTTTATTCATTTTGTGGAAATCATTTTCTATAAAATTAATTATAGTTTATCAAACAATCAGTGAAAATAATTTACACAACATCATCAAAACACCGTAAAATAGTTTCGAAAAAATTATTTCCCAAAAAATGTAATTTATTTTACGTAAAATAGTTTTAGGTAATTCATTTTACATAAAACAATTTTCATGTAATTCATTTTACGTAAAACAATTTTTAGATAATCCATTTTACGTAAATTATTTTCTAAAAAACCAATTACAGTCTATCCCTTAAGAAATGAGATTATGAGAATAGGAATATATAACCCTGTAGATTGTTGGAGTTATTCATAAATATGTAATACGTTAAATTAAGTATTTAGTCGATTAATTACTTTTACGATTTTATTTTAATCATTTAATTATTTTTTAGGATAAACACATTTAATTAGTTAGTTACACTATTTATTGTGTTCATTTATATTCTCTTAGGTTATTGGCTCTAAACACACTAAGAGTACTCTCATTCCTTCCATTAGAGTCCTCCCTCCCCACCTCTAGATAGGATTAGGATTAAATTTAGAATTTATTAAAAATTATTTTTTAAAACCATATCTAAATTACATTTTGGTTCTTTTTTTACCATTTGCCATTAAAAATTAACGGTGATGATGGTATGTCGCCATAAGGTGCTACCATATTGTCATTGGAAAATATAAAAAAATGTCATGTTAGCGGTTCTATTTTTTAATGATAGGGGACTAAAACATAACTTAAGTATGATTTTGAAAAAAGAATTAAATGATCAAAAAAGAACCACGGAAATAATTAAATGACTAAATACGTAATTTATCCTTGTTAATAAATTATTTGTTCAACAAAATAAAAAAAATATGTTTCTTTTCAAAAAAAATCAAATTTAAATTTAAATATATATATATATATATATATATAATTTATTTTCAAGAATAAGATCTTTTTATAAATTATTTATATTTGTTACGGTCAAAATTCATTGATGAAATAAAAATTCTCAAGATCAAGTTTGAATAAATACACCTTGCCTCAGTAATGAAATATAATAGAATATATGTATATTTAATGTTTATTTTCTCTCATTTTCTTAAGCTATGTTTACTGTTTTATTATATTACCTATAAAATAATTTATAAACCTCAACATTGTTTCACAAAGTTAACATATGAGAAATTATATTATAAATTATAAATTAAACTCTAAAGGACACCTAGTGTTAACTACTATAATTTCATTTAAGCGATTTTTTTATTTAATCATCGGTATCCTGTTTATTGATTGATTTTTTCAAATCAAATTTTATAGAAACCAGTCCACCTTGATAATTTTAATTAAATAATTAAAATTTTAACATATTGCATTTCATCGCTCACTTTTAGTGTATGAAATATTAGAAAATTTATTGCCATTGATATTGGGAATGATCAAAATATTTGAACCTAATGGGTTTTGACCTGACTTGATGTTGTAGATTTTAAAAAAAATCTAGTTCGAGATAAATTATATAATAGATAGTTTTGGGGTGGGAAGAGACTGATTCTAAGGTGAAAAATCATATCACTCTTTCATATATATATATAATATATTTTCAGACCGGGGTCGAGACGCCAAAAAAAAAACCCCACAACATACCCATACTTCTTAGATACATACATTAGGATCATTGTTTTGAAAATCGAACCGGATCGGCCGGTTCAACCGGAAATCGTTGCCTAGTCCGGTTCAATCTAAACTGGTTGAACCTCTACTAGTGAACCGGTCGGAACCGCTGAACCGTTCAAACCAGACCGGCTGAAAACCGAAAAAAATCGGGAAAAACCGGAAAAAATGGCCAATTTTTTTTTTTTTGAAAAAAAAAATTAAACCAAACGACGTCGTTTGCTGAGCTCGACTCGAACTTGAAAAATTTAAAAGTAAGCTCAACTCGATTCAAACTCACGAGCTAAAAATTATGAAGTTTAACTCGAACTTGAAATATAATATTAAAACTTGAACTCGAAAAAGCTTGAACTTAAAAAAAAATTAGAAGCTCGATTGAAGCCTAAAATTCGAGCTTGATTGAAGTGAAAGAATAGTTCACTCAATGCTTACCAAAAGGCTCTATGATTTTAAATGTCAAATTATCTCTATTATGTCCTGACTTGCTTTTAATATGAATTGTGATATAAAAAATTATTTTTTATTAAATATTTTTGATATTTTTATTTAATTTTTTAAATAATTATGACGTCGTCCGGTTCTTCCGACCGGTCGGACCGGTTCAACCGGTTGAACCAGTGAACCGGTAACATGGCCGGTTCGTTAACCGGTCCGATTCTGAAAACCATGATTAGGATAGAAAAGCTGAACTAAACTTGTGTTGAATTGGTTAGACCTACTACACTGAGTAACATTTTTCTCATATTCTAATCTGTTACTCGGCACCTAATTCAAGTGCTTCATTCAGCTAGCGCCACCTGAAAAGCTGAAACCAAACTTCAATTGACGTGGCATATCTTTTACCTTCTCAAATAAAGTTATGTATGTACGGTTGAATCTGTTTCATTATGATGAAATGCTATATTTCTTTCATGTGTTGTGATCCTTCCAATTCCTTACTTTTCCTCTGTACCGTCTATTACATTCCTCGACTTCCACCTGCTCCATGTTCAATTCCAAAGTCCCACACCGGTTCCATTCTCTATATAAGCCATCCTAATCCCACATCACCAACATTCACAGCAGCCTTATCTTTCTTCACAACGATGGACACGTTCAAACCCCCAAATCCATGTCTCCTCCTCCTCCTCGTGGCTCTGTCTTTCACAATTCTAACTAAACCAGGCAAGGCAGAAGGGAACAACGCTCGATTGTCCGATTCCCTTCCTGGTGGTACTCCGATTAACAATGTTCCACTTGCCAAACCTGTTGGCAATAATGGGAAGCAATCTCAACTTGGTTACCAACAGCAACAAGACCCTAGCCAGCCTCTGTCAGGCTTCAGTCCGCCGTTTTCCGCTACGAACCAGCCTTACTCGGGGTTTAATCAGCCATTTTCTAGTACCAACCAGCCTTTCGGGGGTACTAACCAAGCTGGCTCAATGGATTACGCTGCTTTTGATAATGGGGTTCCGAAGATGATGACTTGCATTCAAGGTGTTGCCTTGGTTTGTCTACTTACGTTGATGGTTTGCTTTGGCTTTTAGATATGAATTTATCTAGTATGATTTTAAGCATCTTCATCTAGTTGCATGTTCAATTGCGATGTATCCTCTAAAACTATCACATCAATGAAATATATAAAGTTACGGACATACGAGTTGTATTTCAAACCTGAAAGGTAAATCATATTTTTCAATAATATCAGATAATTATAAAATTATATTCGATCAAATAATAATTTTTATTTATTAGGATCCTTTAATAAAGTATATTAAAATTTAAAACTAGATTAATGGGGGGTATTCCTTCGAGATTGGGATCAGGTGGAAAAGGGGGGAGTGCCCAAGTGTCGTAACCAGGCGTTGGGGCGGACACCCCTCTCGCAACTTTCGCGAGAAATGACCACTCCTCATATCCCGTTTGCTGCCTGAAGGATCATGCCTTTTCTCGTAGACGCGTATCTATTTTATACAAAGCCTCATCCCCTCGCTTGTCTCGCTAGCCGTTGTGGGACTTTAGACCACGCAGAAAAGCTTAAAACTAGCTTAGGCTTTTATGTTCTTAATTAATGTGTTATCCGAGTATTAATGTTAATTTTAATTTTAATTAATGCGAACAAAAAGGGGGAAACAAACTGCTGTAAAAATTTCAGTTCTCTTATTATTTGCAAGACTTGAACTTTAACAATCATTATAGGTTTTTAATTAAAAAATCAAACTTTTAATTAGTTATTTCGGATTTTAAAATTTTTATTATAACAAAGTTTTTATTAATTCTAATGTCATAAGTAAACGAATATCTTTTTAATTAATATAATTTAAAATTAGAAAACTTTTATTTCAAAATGAAAATAATAAAATATAACTAAACTACAAAAATATGTTAATAATAGGAATTGAAGTTGCATGGTTTTCTATAGTGTTATTATAACATAGTTTAAATTTGATAAAAAAATAAATTTAAAATGAATGAATAAATAAAAAATAAAAAAATATATGAAAAATTAATGGATTAACCTGCAAAAAGGAAGAATTTGGTTTATAAAAAAAAAATTGGAGCTACATAAGTATTCTATAGTGGTTTAAGAGTGGGTAGTTTAAATTTGGTCAAAAAGTATATTTAAATGAAAGAGGAGTTGAAGATACAAGGAAATCAATGACAAAATTGTGAATTTGTCAAATTTAGTTTATCGAATTGAAAATTTTGTTCGGTCCTAATCTAAATTTTACAAGTTTAAACTTGACTCGAACTAAAACTCAAATTGATCCAAACAACTTGAGTAACTTAAAATTCAAAAACAAAAATAATTTTTTAGATTAGAATCAAAATTTACCCACACCTAATTTTATTATCATTTATTTAGGGTGTATTTGATAGTTGAAAAATATTTTTCAAAAAATGTCTTTCTCATTTTCCTGTGTTTGATAGTTGGAAAATATTTTTCGAAAAATGTTTTCCAAAAATATTTTTCAGTGTTTGGTAGCTGCAATTGGTTTTACGGAAAATATTTTTCAGTGTTTAATAGTTGTAATTGTTTTTCCCAATGTAATTCATTTTCCTAGTTCTTTTGTATTTTTTGTAAATTGTTTTACCATCTGATTTTTCGTAGAACATTTTTCTAACTTTTCACTTTAGGGTGTGTTTGATATCTGAAAAATATTTTTCGAAAAATGTTTCTCATTTTCATGTGTTTAATAGCTGGAAATGTTTTCTGAAAAATATTTTTCGGTGTTTGATAGTTGTAATTGGTTTTATGGAAACCATTTTCCAGTGTTTGATAGTTGTAATTCATTTTCATAGTTCCTTTGTATTTTATGTAAATTGTTTTACCATATGATTTTTCGTAAAAAAAATCCGAATTTTTCACTTTAGAGTATAAGAACTCAAAAAATATTATTTTAAACATTTAATATTAAATTAACATTTTAATATAATATTAATTATTAAAATATGTATAATATAATTTTAATAATATTATATTCTTAATATTCTATTAATATATACTCATATATTATAATAATATATATGATATGATATTTTTAATTTAGTAATATATAATAAATTATTAATATTTATCTATTATTTTTATAAATATAATATTATTAAATTATTAATAATAAGTAATATTAATTTATATATTTAATATTAATGTAATAATTTAGTATTATGTTAATAAAATACTAATAATTAAAATTAAAGGTGTTCAAATGGTTAATTCAACCATCTAGCGAATTGAATTACCATTAACCCGAATAAACCAAACTTTTTTCTTTAATCATTAATTGAATCGATTTTTCTAAATATTAACCGAACCCGACTTTATTCATTCTATGTAAATCATTTTCTATAAAATTAATTATAGTCTATCAAACAATTAGTGAAAATAATTTACACAATATCATCAAAACACCTTAAAATAGTTTCCGAAAACTATTTCCCAAAAATATAATTCATTTTACGTGTATAGTAGTTTTAGGTAATTCATTTTACATAAAATAATTTTCATGTAAATTCACTTTACGTAAAATAATTTTCAGGTAATCTATTTTATGTAAATTATTTTTCAGAAAATCAATTATAATCTATCAAACAGACCTAACATAAATGCACAAGATTAATTTCCTCCTCAGTCCAATAATTGACGGCCATAATATGAAAGATTTTAGGAGAGGGACGTGGTAAAAAATTCAGATGTTTCACATCACATGCTTACATGGATAAGATTGGATTAACGGTATCAATAATATTGATATCGATAAATTATTTGATAGATCTAGTTCATAGATCTAATTCACTATGTCATTTATGGTATCGGTGAATGAAATCCACAAATTTTAAAGTAACTTTAAAATAATTATTCATTTTTTATTTACATGTAGGAAATAATTAAATATTCAGAATAAAAAATGAGATAAAAAATATTATTGGTTGGGATCATAAGTGATGTGATGAGCCGAGTCCATATAATAATTTTTCTATTGAAATTCAAACTTGCTTCAAGGAGTTTCTACAATGCAATGAAGACGAAAAAAGATCGATAGCTAAAGATACAAGGAGGCAAAGCGGGAAGCCAAGAAAACAGTGGCTAAAGCAAAAGATAAGGCATACGAGGAAATGTACAAGAGATTAGACACAAAGGAAGGACAAAACGACATCTTCAGACTTGCAAAATTCTGGGAGAATAGAAAAAATGATCTAGGTAGCATTAGGTTTATAAAGGGCAACAATGGCGTTCTTTTAGTGAAAGATCATGATATTAAGATGGTTTGGGTAGTTATTTCTTTGGTTTATTTAATAACGGTGCCTCTCCCTGTAGAGATAGTATCGTTGATGGGTCAGTCGGCCATCATACTACGACCAATGACTATCCTACAAGTAGGATTGGGATTGAGGAAGTCAAAATGGCCCTTAGAAAGATGGGGAGAGACAAAGTTGTCGGTCGAGATCAAATTTCTATCACTGTGTGGTTGACCCTAGGAGAAAAGGGAGTTAAGTGGTTGACCAATATCTTTAATATTATTTTAGAGACTGCCAAGATGCCAGAGGAGTGGAGAGAGTCTACGGTGATACCAATCTATAAGAACAAAGGAGATCCCCAATGTTGTGGTAACTACAGAGGTATTAAACTACTCAGTCATACCATGAAGCTATGGGAATGGGTGATAGAGGCTAGGTTGAGACAAGTTACTAGGGTTTCAGAAAACTAATTTGGCTTTATGCCAGGCAAGTCTACCACGGAGGTGATTAATCTACTTCGACGGCTTATGGAGAAATATAGGGAAAAATAGAGATCTTCACATGGCGTTCATTGACCTTGAGAAGGCGTATGATAGCGTACCCCGCGATACGTTCTGGAAGACCTTGGAAACAAGACAGATCCCAACTGCTTATATATGGGCGATTCATGATATGTACTGTAGATCTACTACTTACGTCAGGACTACAGTTGGCGACACCGAGGCATTCCCGGTGAAAATCGGACTCCACCAGGGGTCGGCTCTTAGCCGTTACATCTTCGCCTTGATTATGGACGACATATATTGTGCGACACCAAACGGTATTCCATGGTGTATGCTTTTCGCTGACGACATTGTCCTAGTTGCTGAAACAAAAAATGAGCTGAATAGTAGACTGGCTATCTGGAAGACTGCTTTGGAAGAAAAAAGTCTAAGGATCAATATTGAAAAGACAGAGTATTTATGTTCAAACTTCAGTGGGAATCAAAACGATGAAGATGTAGAAGTATGCATCGAAGGACACGTTCTCCCCTCAAATGATTGTTTCAAGTACCTAGGGTCTATGATACATAAAAACGGGGGTGTAGATGATGAAGTTACACACCGTATAAAGGCGGGATGACTAAAGTGGAGGACTGCTACTGGAGTTTTGTGTGACAAGCAGGTGCCTCTAAAACTAAATGGAAAATTTTATTAAATGGCAATTAGACCAGCACTGCTGTATGGATCAGAATGTTGGGCAATCAAGAAAGATCACGTAAGAAGGATGGATGCCGCAGAAATGAGAATGCTTCGATGGACATGTGGTAGGACTCTGTGAGACATGACACCAAACTCTGCAATTAGGATGTCCTTGGGGGTGGTGCATGTATCCGAAAAGTTGAGGGAGGGAAAACTACGGTGGTTTGGGCATGTTCTTAGGCGACAACCATCGGATGCGATTAGGAGGATAGAGTCGATTACAGTCGACGGTGCCAGAAGGAGAGGTCGACCAAGGAGGAAGTGGGTAGACTGCTTGAGATCTGATTTGAAGGATTTAGCCCTTACCGAGGACATGACTGTTGAGTTAATAGATTGACGGAATTGGCCAAGAGGGGGGGTGAATTGGCAATTAAAATTTTTGTGGAAGCTTTTGCAGAAAATTGAAAGTAATTGCACAGCGATTTACAGTGGTTCGACTTTCTCAAACAAAGTCTACGTCCACTACCTTAGCTATCCACACTAAGGATTTTCCAACAAATTCACTAATTTGTTCTTTCTTTTGAGGCCAAAGAGATAACCTTACAATTCCCTCAAGAGTATACCCCA